TCTTCAGGGTCAAACTGAAATTCCCAGTTTGCCCCTGAAAAAGAAAGGTCCACTTTTCGAAAGCGCTCGGGATATAGGGTTTTTATTCATTATCACCCTTAAATGAAAATACTACAAATTCCCTTAACAATTTTATACACCTCAATCAAATTTTCTTTCGCTGTTCTTTTTTACAAGAGAAAACAATTTTAGAACTCTTAACCTGTCTTTGTATGCTATCCTTGCCACCATAGTAACATCTTTCTAACAATCACCTGAAGTTTTTTCCAACTATTCAATGCACTTCTTAAGGTAAGGCACTCAATATTGAAAACAATACTTCAAATGTGGCCAAACCACAAAATTACAAAATCTTTATATTTATGTTCAATATTTCTGTAGATTCCACCTAAAATCCTATATGCCCTGCCGTTATCAACAGTACATTGCGTGGATGGCTTAAAAGACTGATAAACTAGAACATCTAGACCCTTTTCTTCCATGACACTTTAAGGTTATTCCCGTGAAAAGTATAATCATAATTGAAATTGTGATATCACATATCCGTTACATTGCATTTATTATAATTGAGAGTCATCTACTATTTATACGCTCACCTCACCAAATAAACCAAATCCTTTTGTAAAGCATCAGTAGCATTATTGATTTAATATAGTTTAAAATTCAAAATCCCATTCTATATTATTTAAACATCAAACGCCCCTCCTAGTGGCTCAGCAGTAAATCTGCAACTGAAGACGCTAAAATTCTGGTTTAGATACTCGTGATGTGCAGAGCACAGATATCCTACTGTGTAGCTTGTGTTTAACAACAATCCACATCAGACAAAGAAATTAGAGGTCGAGAATGAAATAATTTTGAGCTTTTCCGTCCTCCTAATTCTTTGTTTTATGACTGGAAAATCACATTAAATATATTCAAAAATATGTGAATAAAAAATAAAATAAAGGAATTTCGATCGATCTGCCTTTCAACAATGGGCTAGATGTTTTATGAAGAATATTAAATCATGATACTATGTAGGATAATGTTCAGAAAAATGTTGCCTTTGAATATTTTCGATTACAGAGAAAGAAAGTTTGCTACTTTTTATTTATACAGTTTTACAAATGCAAGTTATTTGTTAAGATGTGGATTCGACGTGTTTGGATGGAAACAAAGTCTGATTTTAAAAGCATTGTGTTATGCTTGTGATGACGCCGGCCCAGATTTTTAGGAACTTTTTCATTCTACATATTAATACACGTAAAGAAAATGTATAAACATTTGACATTAGCAATCGTGATGTAATTAATTTAGAAATGTTTTAATGATATTATATTATAGAGCTAATACATAGATTTTACTATTTTAGAATTAGAGGCTGTATCGGTTGTTGAGGTGAAAGAAAAAGTTGATTGCATTTTATACTAAAAATGCAATTGCAGTTTTAAACTATAATTTTTTTTATCTATCAGAATTCATGCAAATTAGATGAAAAAAATCGTTTGGTCTCTTTCTAACACAATTCCCTAAAGGCATAACTGGTTATGACAGGGTGAAACTACCTATCGTATTAATCTTAATGTCAAAATATACTAACATTATTTCATTATGCAGAGGGTTGAGTAAGATGCATTAAAACGATTTTAACTATGCAAATCAACAAGTCACGCTACATATACAGCTGATATAACTTTGCGGTAGAATGGAATGCATCACAACTACATTTTGACATTGTTTGGCGTTGTAGGTAGTGTGATTCTAATAAAAGTTGATTGCTTTTGGATGGGTATGAAACAATTCTTTCCAACGTAAAATATTCATACACTCAGGTCTTAATAAAAATGTGCTGATAGGAGATCTAGAATTTCCAAGCATTAGAATAACATTAGAAAACAAAGGAATATGGATCAACTTGGAGCACCAGGACCACCCAGAAATATTGTTTAATTTCATTATAACGTTATAAAGTTGGTTATCTGCACTCTGTCCACCCCCGAAGAATCGAACCCAGGATTTTAGCATTTCAACTTCGTAAACTTACCGCTGAAAGAGATCTGCAACAATTCGTACCCTAGCCGTGGTAAGCAAAGTGTGACATATTGCAACAGATGAGAATCCACAAATAAAAAGGTCAGTGGCAAAAGCCACACTAGGCAAAAATACACAACATAATCAAGAAAGATCTTTGTCTGGAAAAATGAAACAAGTAGCTTTCAGAACATATACGTTCAATCTTTGCATACCTCAAAAAGTTGGAGAATGAAACAGGCATTTATGCTATTCCATACGAAGATATAGCGATCAAGTTGCTGAACGGATTTTAGCACGATAGGACTCTTAAGATGGGCGCTGGGGAACCATCATTCTCCTATACTATACATGTCATGAAAAGTACATGAAGGACAGGCTGTGTTTTTGACATGACAGTTTGTGTCAAGAGCCATTTTTAGTAGAAACTATACTACAGTAACAATGTGGTGAAGTTCCATAATCGTTTTAATATAATGTACTCAACGCTTGAACAAGCTCATCTTAGCTAGCCTATTCTATTGAAATTGCTTGTTTAAGCATGCAAAACAAACTATGTTTATTCTTTAGGTTTCAACTCTATTACTTCCTGTACGTCCCTCGTGGCACAGCGGTATGTATTTGGACTTACAACGCTAGAAACCTGGTTTCGATACCCGTGGTGGGCAGAGCATAGATAGCCCACTGTGTAGCTTTGTGCTTAATTACAAACAAACAAACAAACAAATAAATACTTCTTGTACAAATATGAAATTCGACTTTTGCCATACTTTATTAAACCTCAGGCTTTTAAGAAGTACCAGAATTTTCCTCTACTGGAAAATTTTCATTGACTGAAAGATCAAGATTTTTATATGAAAAGCGAAAAGTAAATTTAAAAAGCACATTTTGTTATTAGAACCAACGAGATTCTTATTGCGCATCAAATGAAAGAGGTTGGTGTTTTCCAACCATTTTACGTTTTATGCTTGAACATTAGATTATTTCTTAACAGCTCGGTTCGTTTTGTTGTTGGGAGGAGCATAAAGGGAGACAAGGTTTGGAAAACTCCAACAGAACCAGATCACGGAACTCAATTACGCTAATCAGGATAGTTTAGATAAAATAAACAAAAAGCAAAGAGCTAGCAAACGTTTTTTGGACGATAAATAATGGATAAAATGCCCCCCAGTGGCACAGCGGTATGTCTGCGGACTTACAACGCTAGAATCCGGGTTTCGATACCCGTGGTGGGCAGAGCACAGATAACCCATTGTGTAGCTTTGTGCTTAATTACAAACAAACAAATGGATAAAATATTTTGTTTAACTTCAAACAAATGCATTATTGGCTGAAAAATAGAGTTTATATGCTACCCTGTGAAAATATTTTGATATAGAAACTTGCTTCTAGTGTTTACAATTTCGCTCGCTTTGTAGTCAAAATTTAGAAGATTTTTTTTTTTTGGGTTACAACTCTATCGCGAGTAATGCATGAATTCTTAAATAAATTGTAAGGAAAAATATTAGAATAAAATATTTTGAGAAATATAGAGTCATTTTTACTTAACTTATTAACCTTTTTTTGGCAAAAGACAATCCTAAACATGTCTTGAAAGTGCTAGACTGTTAGTTTTATTGTGGTTATGGTTAACAGTTTGTACGATTAACCCTGAGTCTAATTATTAATTGTTTTAATTAATAATTACTAATTACTCTGAGGAGGTAGTATAGATTACTAACCAAGATAATGAATGATATCTGCTCGATAACCTCAATATAGGTATTAGTAAATTACTCAAATATATCAGAAATTTTCACAGGGAGAAATAACTTTAATATTTTGATTTGCTTAAAAAAAGCCAGGAGAGACTCCAATGGAATTTTTTGACACTCAAAGGTATTAGCGCTTTGGAAAAGATTTTGAATTTATCGAAATCAGTGGCTCTCATTTTACTTGATTTTCAAAAGTTGTTTAATCAGTTTGTCATGCGAAGTTCGCTCGAAAAATCAAGCGACTATCAGTTTGATTTAAACGAGTATGTAACAGCAGCTTTGCAATGAATCTAAAAAGAAAAAATAACAAAATTAGTATAATCGGTGGTGCCACTTTGTTAAAGTGTTCGT